AAGCTTATAATCAAATAAACTAAAGGTTACGTGTACATCAGTTGAGTTGGCATCAAGTTAACTTGATGGTTAAGTCCAAATCAAACGTCGTTAAACAATAAACCTCTTGGCAATTTTTAACCTTCGGGTAACCATACATTGTGAAAATGGGCCTCTGCGGCTCTCTCGCTCGAGAAAACGCTAGCGCGAGCGCGCAAAATCGCGAGTAATAATATGCACCGCGAGAGGATCGCGATACATCTATTTCTTTTTTCCTGTTCTCTTTTCTCTTCGCGCAAGTTTCGCGAAACGCGCTCGAAAGTCGCACGGTCATCCTCGCAATTTTTGCGCGTTCAGAAAGTCACCGTAAATGACAGTGTTGCAACCTTCGTGTCCCACGACTGTGCGCGCGAGCTAATGATCGCGAACCCGCGAACGACCTGAAGTTGCCTTGAGATTGAGATCCTTTTCCCCAGCGGAAATTCGATTGTAAGATTTTCCGGACGCGCGTGTCGGAAGTCGTCCCTCGGAGGAAAAAGCGCGTCGATTTTGAGTTTAATTTCATTTTGGTTCTTTTTTTCTCCAATTTATATTAATAACAAACGTCTATTAATTGCAGAACTTATTAGTCCTCCTGTTATTTATGCCTCCCTTGTAAGTGCCGACAATGCCTGGTTCGCGTTAGACGTATAAGTATAGCACATTGTAACAAAAGCAAATATCAACTTGTTGCATAGAAGAATCCGCAAAAAGTGACATCAAGTGTACAACGTGTCAGCTGTTATTATCGTGCAAAAATAATACAGAGATTAACTATTAATAGCCGTAAATTAAAAATCGCAGAAGATTCGCGTCCGGTTAAAAAAGCATTCGCGCTCTATTTCGATGTGTATTATACGCGCGATTGCAATTGTAAGTTCCACGAATGCAAACGATTAACGTCTAGTGATGAAGATGCTATTATAAGAAAAAAAATTGCATTGAACTCGTGTTTCTTTTGCATTCTCTTTGTGTATAAACGATAAGCCCGTAATAGCATTGCTATATAATTCTGCAACGTCGCCGCGGCCGGCGATGCGCAATCGGAAATACACGCGATCGCGGCGGCGCACAATAAAACGCTTCACATCCGTGAGACGATGTTATTTTTAAAGGCCCTTCAAATATGCAGGCCGATTTAACACCTCGGCGCAACTGCAGCAGTTAAAGCCGACGGACTTTCCCCGCGGGGGCGAAATTATATTAAGGATATACAAACGTGCAAATCGCGCACCGGATCTGAGACGCGCGCGTGCGAAAAAAAGCGCGAATGGCCCACGTTGCAGAACAATTTTCGGAGCAGCGTGGGAGCGAGCCGCAGATAAACGTCCGTGATATTTTTTTCCTCTCGCCGACACAGGCGGAGGAGTTTTGCGAGAAGTTTTGCGATTCGCGAAAGCGATTTTAGTGAAAGCGCGAGTGTGCCTACTACTGTCCGTTTCTCTGCCCTATTCTTCCGCGTGCCTCAGAATCCGCGCTCTCCGCGTCCGCTTCCAGTGCGCGATTCCGTGTATTGTTGTCTGAAGAAAAAAAAAATCACGACACCCTTCGCACGTCACCGTTCGCGAGAGGAAATTATTATTGTCATGCGACGCATCCTGTTTCACAACCCGCAATCTTTTCCTCTCTATCGTTTTTCAGCGCCTTCGTATAGCAAGGCGATAGACGACAGATGACTCACTGTCGGTAAATGTCGATAGAAGAAATTTGTCTTTGGAGTAATAACGGTAATTAGGAAGTGAGGAAACTTCTTTGAGGGATTCCAATGCGGCTCAGTTATACGGGGAACCGCATAAATAAATAAAAAAATCTAAAATAATCCACGCGAACGTTTTCAACGCAGTAAGATTAAACCGGGGTGCTCCGTTTATCCACGATCCGGAATTACGATGACGTTTTAGCACGCGATCGTAAATATGCAATTGCTTCTCGTCGGCCACACGCCTGCATCTCAAAGCGGGCGAAATCTAAAAAGACCTGCCTATATAATCGCGGGGGCAATTATGCGGCGGTGCATCGCATCACGTTCCCGAGATGACTTTCGGATCTCCAATATTTCAACCATATAATTAGCGAGAAAAAGTTGTGACTGCAGCTGTCCGATTGTCAGATTCAGCCGTCGAGAGAATGTTGCTAATAGCGCCGATCAAATCGAAGTTAGCCGTCCGTATTTAACGTCGAATAGATAGGATAACAGATTTAGTTTTTAAATAAAATATTAATAAAGTTCACGATCCGTACTGTAATTTCATCGCAACTACAATCAAACAGTATATATATATATATATATATATATATATTCCTTAATTAGTTCTCGCTAATTATCTATAGTGATAAAAATCGTCGGCAGCACGCAAACGACGTCGACATGTAAATCCCGCATAAAAATCCGACGCGCGTTTCCTTAATTGGGAATCGCGTCAGCATAATCAAAATCCAAATATATCAAAGCGAACGGGGATGACGAGCAAGTGTCCCGCGAGATAGCCGTCCAGCAGGTATATACAGTCATCGAGGAGCCGTCGGTTTTTCCGAAATAATCGCGACGAGATTATCTCGTGGCGGCGCGGTCGGTCGCGTGCGTCCTGCGACGGACGTCAGATAAGATAAATTTAACATTTCTCCTGGGGCATTATACCTCCGGGGCGACCGACGACGATTCGCCCTTCGCATTGTGGATATAGAGCCGCACGACCGACCGCGTCGCCTAACCTCTCTCGGGCGCGCGCACGCGCACGCGCGACCTAGCCTGCTCGCTCGCGGCAAAGAGGAAGAGACCGAATTATTTTCGCAGCGCGCCGCCGCCGCGGCCCCGGGTCGCTCCGTAATCAAATGAATATCCTTTTTTTTCCTCTCTCTCTCTCTCTCTCTTCCTCTTCCCGATTGTACGCTTCTCCCGCGCACTCCCGCGTGTGTGCGTCCGTTTATCCGCTCCGCTTCGATCTCTATCCTCGAGCGCACCGCGCGAGAGAGAGAGAGAGAGAGAGAGCGAGAGGAACGGTCAATTCCTCCAACCAGTTAACATCGATTAGCTCCGTCAAGCGCCCTCCGACCGTGCCACGTAGTGCACACACGCGCGCGGTACGCTCCTCCGCTCCGCGCACGCTAGATCCGTTAGGTACCTTCGTATGCATAATCGAACGTATGCACGGCACCGCGTCCGTCAGCGGCGCCGCCAATCGAGGTGCGCGCGACCCGAGCAAGGGCGGCGGACAAAAACGACGAAAAACTGCAACGGTGCGCGGTGCGACTCCTCCCGCGTCTCGTCACCCGCCGCAAAAAAAAATTACGGTGCGAGTGGAAAGAGAAGAAAAAAAAAAATAATAATAATGTGCCGGTCGTCGCGTACGGCGAGTTCGCGCGTCTCGTCGAGAAATCTCCTAAGCCTCGCCGACCTCGCGAACCGTGAAGTAAAAAGCGGCGAAGTAAAATCGCGAGAATACAACGCGAATTGAGCTGATACAATCTCGTCGGTGCGAGTTCGGATTTCGACATCGCAACGAGAGCGATTTTTATGCTCGTCATTGATAAGAAAATCGGAGCAAATACATGCACAGACTCTCTCTCTTTTTCCTTTTCTCTTTCTCTCTTCTCTCGTCTCTCTTTCTCTCCCCTCCCTTTTCGCTCTCTTCTCTCCCCCCCTCCCCTCTCTCTCTCTCTCTCCTTCTTCCTCGCTACAGAAAATTTACGGCGTCCGTTTCGCCGGTTAGAACGCGGACGTTCGAGTTCTTTTATTCCTAGCAGGTCGGACATGCAGCTGCCTGCTACAAAGGAGAAAAGGAAAAGACAGAATATATCCGGACGCTTCCTCTCCTTCTCGCTCACCCGGTGACAATCTCGGCGCAACCAGAAGAACCGGGCGAACAAATCCCCACGGGTGCATCCACACGCGTCCACCCTATTATCCGTCCACGAAAATCCACGCCGCGGATTAAAACGAGGAAAATCTCCGACTTCCCGTGGTCGCGCGACGATTACGCGAAACGCGCCGGGTACGCGAGAGTACGCGCGCCCCTGGGACTTTCTCTTCGCTCGCGAGTCGCGCACCCACGGCGCGGCCCTGCGGGGCAGAAACGCCGAGCGTGTGCGAGCGCACTTCCTCGCGAAGTGAAATGATCTCCCCGGGCTCGCTTGCCAAGTGTCGCATCATCGGAATCGACGCTCCCCGTCTTCAGGCGTCTTCGCCTCATACATATCCCCCAACAGAGACAGCCGACGATAAAATATATAAATACGGAAAAAAATATATAAAATACTATACGTATATATATATATATACTATATATATATGTATAGAAGATACAAAAACAGACGGTTGCGCTCGATAATAACTTTATTCGCAACCCGGGAGATAACTCGAAGTCCTAACGGACTCGACACCGTTGTCGCCTGCAACATTCCGTCGCGCTCTCGTTCCGATCGAGTATTTTTCTTTCCTCTCCTCTCTTTCTCGTCGTCTCGTCCCGGAATGTCGGTCTCCCGACCCCGACGTCGCGCTCCCGGGAGATCGACGTTAGAAAGCTGAGACCCCGCGCGCCCGCGACCGTACGACGACGGGGACGACGTACATGTACAAATCATGCAATATGCCGCTGCGGTAATCGGCGGAAATGCAGCCAAATGCGACCATCGCCAGGGCGGCCAGGGCCACCCGCCCGTCTCTACCTCTTACATAAGTTTCCGGTCACCTACGAACCTGTCAGCTAACCCGTCCGTCCGACCCGAGCCACGTTTACCGCCTCCGCGCGACGCGACCTCCCGTCATCGGCGCGCGTACGGACGTCCGCGTCTACGTGCACGTCGTCGCTTACGCGGTGCGACGTGTATTTTCGCACCCCGAGGCCGCTTCCTCGCGCGACGGTACCCTCCTGCTCGGGCGAAATACGCGAGCGCGCGAGCGCGCGCGCGCGCGCGGGCAACGCGAAAGACGGCGCAATGGACGGGATTATCCAACGCCAAAAACATCTCCAGCTCTCTCTTACCTGCGAGACGGTACGTTGCGTGCCGGCGCTCGTGTCCACAACGTCGATCCCGCTTGTCACGTCGCACGGCAAAAAAAAAATCACACTTTTCACACACTCAAAAACCACATCCTCGTTACGATCACAGTGTTCTTATTGAAAATGCGTTACGAGAGAACGTGCGTTGCCGTTAAATAGGGCATCTCTGGCTGGCTGGCTGGCGTCGTGGAGTTCGCGGACGGCTTCCGAAAGATGGCGCACGTCGCGGCGTATTTCCGTGGTGTGTGCACGCCGAGCTGTTCCGAACGTTGGCCATTTCTCTCCGAAGCTCGCAATCAGTGCATCGCACACGGCTTCTATATATATATATATATATATGATATATATGTATACAATTGATGTACGCATATAGTTGACCAGACCGCTCACTTTAATTTTGCATGCAACAAAAAGAGACAGAACAAACCTGATCCGACATTGATAGGGTCGTATATGCGCATGTGTGCACGTGTCGGTGAGTGTATCACGTGATAGGAATTCATGTCGGAATGTAACACGCAAGAAACACTATACCTTATAAGTCATTATATACGTATGCGTGAGTTTATCACCATGCAATGGCTACTCTCTTGTTTAGATTCAATAATGATAACGGAGCGCACAAACAGAGTCCAGTCACCGACGATTATTATTAAAATCGCGGCGCCAATTAGGCGCAAATAATTTCGCGACTGTCAAGTGAGCCGGGGGGGGGAGGTAATTGAAGAACATTGACATTGCCAACCATTTTGGCGGTACCGACAAAAGATCACTATTTTATCGACAGTGAAAAGATGTACGTAAAACGATCGCGTTTGTTATCCCCGCGTACAGTCAAAATGGTCGGTAATGTCATAGTTCTTTAATTACCCCCGATGGGCCCGCCGGGCCCACATTGACAATTACGAAAATTTGCCTTTGGCCGGTTCAACAATATCTCGCCAATGTCCTGGATAAAGCAAAGATCGGAGCAATAATCCTTGATATTAGTTCTGGTCAAAACTTTCCAAAATCGGCTGTGATTTAATTATACTGATGAAAAAAAAAATAATGTAGCGCCGATAACTTTTAATGCTGTCATTGTTTTTTTTTATTAATAAATATAGCGACAGTACTTAGCCAATTATATTTTCGAGCACGCTTCTCAATGCTACATACGATATACACTGAATACGATGCTTCTCGCAAGAGACCAGGTTTTCCATCTGTCGCGTTTAGATGCTCCATGCTGAGCGACGCCGGGCCGGGTTATCTTCGCAGATATTTCTTGTCACATAACCTCTCTGCGGGAAAAAAACCATAATCCATCAATTTGTATTATATTCTTCGTATATTTGTATATATATTCTTGGAGCCGGTGTATAATAAAAAGATGTACAAGCGCGCGGTGACCGGTGGTGTCACAACACTGGCGAGGAACTTGGGATTTGTTAAGGTGAAATATCTCTCGCGCGGTCTCGACTCCGAGAGGATATTTGAAATTTCTCTCACTGTTCACGTTTCACGTTGCAGGATCACGCGTTTGCGAGCGTGGGAAATAAAATGTTCGGCTCGGCCGCCCAGAACTCGTGGTACAAACCGTCGAACCCGATAAACACTGTCATAATGTTCGTTCCGCAGCAACAGGTTCGTCATCGCTTTAAGCGCATGGTTTATACTTGTTTGTAACGTATATATGCAGATTACTCGTAATTGTGTATCTCTGACCGTCTGAACGTGACGAGTCGACTTTAATTCCGACTTACGGATTTCGTTAAATTATTCGATGTAAAAATCCTACATGCGAAAAATTAGCTTGACAATCGCATCTAGACCTAAAGGGAGGCGCTTTTGCTTAGGCATGGATCGTAGAACGTATGGGAAAGTACCATAAAACTTTAGAGCCAGGTCTGAACATTTTGCTTCCTGTCGTCGATAAAGTTAGGTACGTGCAAATCTTGAAGGAATTGGCGATAGACGTGCCGCAGCAAAGCGCAGTCACGTCAGGTGGGTATATACGGCTGTCCGATGCAAACTTGCAAAAGAATATCGCACACGCCTGTCTAGCACGGCACTCGTAATCGATTATTTTCTGATTTTCAATTTCAGACAATGTGACTCTAAGCATCGACGCGGTATTGTACTTGAAAGTGTTCGATTCCTATCTGGCGTCCTATGGCGTTGAGGACCCTGAGTTTGCTGTGATTCAAGTTGCCCAGACCACCATGAGATCTGAGCTAGGAAAAATATCGTTAGACAAAGTATTCAGGGAAAGGGAGGGGTTGAATGTTTCCATTGTTGAGAGTATCAATAAGGCCAGCGAGGCATGGGGAATAAGATGCCTGCGATACGAGATACGTAAGTTGTAAAAGTAGTAACGAATGCGATAACAGATATCTTGCCTTGCACAATTCTAATATTCATTATTCTAATATTAGAATTTATAATCTATTATATATCCATTACCTATATATATAATTTGTTAGAATTAATTAATAATCATTCATTATTCTAATATTAGAATGATTACTAAATAATTTTTAATCTAAAATAGACAACTTTATTCTTCATCGAACTTGTATTTATGTGTGCTAGGGGATATAAGATTACCATCGAGGGTGCAGGAAGCAATGCAAATGCAGGTGGAAGCCGAGAGAAAGAAACGTGCCGCGATATTGGAGTCGGAAGGCGTTAGGCAGGCTGAGATCAATGTGGCCGAGGGCAAGCGACTCGCGCGAATTTTAGCTTCTGGTGCGGTGCTATTCATATTCAGTGTAACTCCCTAATCAGTGAACTTGAGGAAATTACGCATGCTTCTTGCAATTTATCTGAAGAGGCAACTTCAATCTCGCATGAATATACAATTAATGGTGAATATATATAATGTTTGTAACGATAAACTTTATTACCGCAGAAGCAGCAAGGCAGGAGCAAATAAATAAGGCCACTGGAGAAGCCGCTGCAGTCGTGGCAGTCGCGGAGGCACGAGCGAAGGGATTACAAGTAGTTGCGAATGCCCTTGGCGTCACGGACGCGAAAAACGCAGCGGCGCTCAGCGTGGCGGAACAATATGTCAATGCGTTCAACAAGTTAGCAAAAGTTAATAATACATTGATACTACCAAGCAACGTAGGAGACGTTTCGACATTTGTAGCACAGGTTTGTCGTTCACAGTTATTATTATCTATTGAATTTCAGTAACAGTATCATCAAAGTGTTTTGTTGCATCCCACAGGCAATGGCAATATATAAACAAGTTATGCCCAACAATAGCGAGCAAATAAGACAAGTGACGAGTAATCAATCAGACGTCTCGGATGGAGTACAGATGGAGGATTCTGATGAAACGTTTGAGTACATCAGCGATAAGGAAGAAGCTGAGAAACACAGAAAAACGAAAAAAAAGACCGAACCGGAAAATCGAATATTATAAAATTTTATATCTGTAATAAAAAAAATATTTTCATACATCTTCGGCATGTTATTTAATTAAGTTTTGCGATATAAATATCACGATATACGACCATAAAGCATTGAGCCGAATCTGTTTCGTTAGTGTCAAACCCTTTTTTTTCATCGCAATCACAAACTAATGCACAAATTCCTTCAAATATACATATATACATTTATTTATATAAATGCAAGTTGACAGCGACATGACTCGCAATTGGAGTTCAGTCTTTAATCGAGTTTTTGTAGAAATCTCAAATCGCTTATATTCTACAATTAGACAAAATAATATTGAACCATTTAAAATTGGCATTGTATTACAAATTGGAAGCTTTACATGGAACGTGTGACATTATGATGTACACGATAGTAAAAAAAGATATGTGTAACACAAACATCCTTATACCTATTCACTTGCGCTTCTTAGATTGCATTACTGTACTCTGCACAGACACGCCGTATGTTTCTTGAGAGATTCTGTTCATGTAATACAGCGCAATCAAGGAGAATATCAAACACGTCGTAGTGGACACACGGTGGATTAGGGCAGAAGCGATTAGACTTAGCGTCAATGAGAAGACCACTGTAACAAAACAAGGATATTAGTTTAGCTTGCGGCCTCTTCGAAAGCCAAATCGATCATCTCGTGAAATAAAAGAATCGACGAAAATTACTGATACGATTAAGGTGGTTTTATCGTTCAACGCCAACTCGATAGTGTAACGTTGTCACATAAACGTCACACAATCGCATAAGTACAGTCTATGCGAAATGTTTTTATTGAATTACACATGTTTTTATTAAATTATTAGTCATACGGAGAGACTAACTTTTGACTGGGACTTGCCCGATAAAACCAACTTAAACGAAATTGCTGATTATATGGAATCTTGGAGTATTAAAATTGTGGCAAGATTTGATTAGCCTGACCTTCGAAAGATCAATTTCTACACGTACCTTCTGGGATTAATTTTTGCTGGAAGGACTTTCCGAATAAGGTACTTTCAAGATTTCCCACGGCGGTCAGCGTGCACATGAACAGCATGGACCCGACCAGCCCCCCGAGAATCGTTCCCAACTGCGACGAGCCGAGCCAGACTTTGTACATCTGCATGCCGGAGAACAGCAACACCATCAATATCGACGACAGCACGAATGACGCTCCGCTGCTAACAGCTGTTGACATTAACATACAATGTTAGCAGTGATATTGAAGAATAGTAAGGATTAAAAGGAAAAATTAACGGATCGCAAGACGAGATTGAGATGTAAGGATCAGATCGTCTCGATTACTTCCATTAAGGAAGTCGAGTCTCTGTGTTTTGTCGAAAAAATATTATGTTGTTAAATGAATTATCTTTTAATTTGTATTCATTTCTCAGAAAAAAATTTCTACTAGAAACAGGAAAAATAAAAAAAATTACAGATTTTTCCTCGTGCAGATATCTTTAGATACAGATATTTTATAGATATCCGACTTGATATAACACTTCTTTCGAACATGCAAGCTCCCGTCGAATTTCTTCTACATGGCAATCATTCAGTAGTTTAGGAATAAAACTTTCAAAAATACCGATACTCACCCATCGTTGCTGGAAGATTTGGGAATAGTCATAAGACACTCGTCCCTCCTCTCTTTCCTCGCTCCGAGAATTTGCGTAAATTGCGTGCAACTCTCTCCGCACATTCGGACCGACTCTCTCAGGTTAACTTAACCTCACAATTTGTACAACCGGCATACATACGTCAGCAACGCTCGGTCGATTACAATCGACTGAAAGATGTTCGATACTCGGTTTTTCGATATTTCGATTAATTTTTATCTCTCGATATATTTTTCTCTTATCCGATCCTGCTGCTACCTAATTCTTAATAAATTTTTTACAGGACCACTATTTTTTATATGACTATCGATCAAAATCCATTTAAAATGACTAATATGGAAATAAAACAATATGCGCGAATCAATCGATCATTAAAGTAAAACTCTTTCTTATTTAATTTTTTAACCTTTTTTGAAATTAATAAAAATAGGAAGAGCAATATATAATATATGTATACGAAACTATAGATCAAATCTTATATATAATTATTGAAATTTCGAAATTGGAATATAGAAATTTTAATTTCCATTAAGGAGATCATCTCGATTACTTCCATTAAGGAAGTCCGAGTCTCTGTGTTTTCTCGAAAAAATATTATTTTGTTAAATAAATTATCTTTTAATTTATTGATTTCTCAGAGAAATTTCTACTTATAGAAACAGAAAAAGTAAAAAAAAATTATAGATTTTTCCTCGTACAGATATCTTTAGATATAGATATTTTATAGATATTTTAGATATAGATGTGGCTTCGCTTATTTTAGTAGCGCATTGAATTTTCGCCGTCCACCGCGAGTCTCCGTGATGATATGACGCGTGCAGCAAAACAAAGCCGTTCGCGATAAAGTCAAATGCTGGCAGAAGTGACAGCGAATCGCGGATGATACTATTCGTGAAAGATGGGCGAAGTTTGTTAAATTCTCGCGTGCAATAGCAAGCGGACGAACAATCTAGTCGAGCGTTTCTACCACGGTTCTATACCTGCGTCCAGCTGAAAAGGTATAACCTGCAATAAAGGGACGCTCAGCAACGCGGGAGAATGCCGCGCATCAAGAGCTTGCCGCAGAAGGCAGCCAAGGTGACGAGCTGTCACCCGTCGGCGAGCACGTGGGTGTTCCTCATGAAAGGTGAGCGCGCGAGGACGATTCATTGTCGCTCGTCGCGACTGACAATTGCAACCCCGCAGTCTTACTTGTCGATCGACCGCCGCGATCAGCTGTTTAGGCGCCCCTGCGAAAAGCGACCGCCGGAAATTGCATATCGATGAAAATGTATTTCAGAGGACAGTGCGAAGAACAGAAGTGGAGGCCAGTCGGAGAGCGTGAAGCTTAGACATCCAGCCTCCGATAAGCCAGCTATATTCGTATTCGGCGCTGGAAATCTCACGGTGCAAGAGGTTTTGATCTTTGACGAAAAGAAGAGGTCCTGGTTCATTGACGACAATGTCAAATCCGACGGCAAGCTGCACTTGTCGACACCGATTGATCCAATCTTCTTGGTACTGCCGTACTTGAGAAAGGTAATGGAAAATTTTATTTCTTTTTTTTCTTTTTTTTTAGGTATCATTTAAGCATATCCCTTTATTACAGTCGGAACTGGCTCAACCTTTGGAGCAATGTCTCTGGGATGAGGACTTCCCGGAGACGTCTCGCCTCGCGCAATGTGACAATTTGAATCTGTCCTTAGTCGCCGATCGTAAGGGGGATGAATCGCTGCAAGCGTTCAAGTTCAATGAGGACAAATCGTTGAATTGGCTGCAAAAGAAGGTAGAGAAGGTGGCGCATGCATTAAAAGAGAAAGGAGTTCATGTATCTCACGGCGCTATGAGTGCCACTTATGTTCAGAGTACTAAATATGAAACTGGTACAGAGGCAGGTAAGAAAAGTAACAAAATTGTAATTGTAATGCTGTTTGTGACAAAGGAAAGATAAGATCAAACATTTGACAATGTTCTCGACGTCAGTTATAGCTGAATTGAGATCTAATGGGATCTTATATATTAAATCAATTTTTGTAGGCCACCATCTACAAGCAAGATGAATTAATTGACAAAGCACTTATCGAAAATTTTCTTATAGAATACTTAAAATATGCACACGGCATTGTGTCAGAATACCTTGCCGAAGATCTCTCAAAGAAGCTGGCACAGCGTTTGAATATACCTGAGGAAGTGGAGAATAAAAAACGCAAACTGACTAGCCCTGAAATTAAAACGGACGAGAAGAAGCTTAAGAGAGATTCCATCGAAGAAAGCCCAGTGCCAAAAGCAAAGAAGCAAACGAATCTGAGTAAACCCGAAAAGGTTAGTCATTACTCATTAGTAGAATTAGTAATCACAGTCATTTCAGTAAACGATAACTATAATTATAGGTATCAAGCTACAAATAAAATATATCAATTTTTTTATTGTAGATAGCAATTTATTGGTCTAAATGCAATAATGTTCGTAATTGCTTCTTTTTTTTTATTTAAGATTACAGACATGAGGAAAATGTAGTCTCTAAATTTTTAAAACAATACATTTGTGTTGTACAAATTTAACTTGAATATCTTTATATATTTTTTTACAGACCCACAAGAGCGCTGCCCCTGGTAAAAAGGAATTAGCTAAACAAAGAGCAGCGGCAGGATCTAAAAGTATCACTAGCTTTTTTCAAAAGAAATAAATATCAAGAAACGATAGAACGACTTTAAAGATTAATATTAATGCATTTATAGACATTTATTATTATGTCTCATACATTTTTAAAAAAATTTTATTGCTACGTGTAAATCTATGTTTACCATAATGTAACGTCCAAGTTGAGATTGTAATATTTATTAATGCAAGTTTTTTTTCTAATATTTTAATAAATTCATGCAATATCTATCATTAACATTCAAAGAATGTAGCATGCAACAATAAACATTTAATAAAAGAATATATCAGCAACTAAACCTTTTATTCCTAATTTATAATATTTAGTTTTTATAATATTTTAATATCAATTATATACATATTCATATTGTGAATTTTTTATTCAAATGTATATCAATATATAACTGTAGAATATATAAATGATACTGTCAATCAGATCCATATATCTATCATTAACATTTGAAGGATGTAGCATGCAATAATAAACATTTAATAAAAGAATATATCAGTAGCTAAACCTTTTATTAATTCCTAATTTATAATATTTTAATATCGATTATATACATATTCATATTGTGAATTTTTAATTCAAATGTATATCAATATATAACTGTAGAATATATAAATATGATATTGTCAATCAGAAAGATCTATATATCTATCATTAACATTTGAAGGATGTAGCATGCAACAATAAACATTTAATAAAAGAATATATCAGTAACTAAACCTTTTATTAATTCCTAATTTATGATATTTTAATATCAATTATATACATATTCATATTGTGAATTTTTAATTCAAATGTATATCAATATATAACTGTAGAATATATAAATGATACTGTCAATCAGAAAGATCTATATATCTATCATTAACATTTGAAGGATGTAGCATGCAACAATAAACCTTTAATAAAAGAATATACCAGCAACTAAACCCCCAGTCAACACGCATGTCTAAACGACATCCGAAAGACGTCTTTCGAAAGATGTCTTTTCGGACTTTACAAAAAGATGTCTTTAAGACAACTTTTAGTATAGTCTGAAAAGACTATACTAAAAGTTGTCTTTCATATGACGTCTTTGGGACGTCTTTTGGACTTTACCAAAAAGATATCTTTAAGACAACTTTTAGTATATACTAAAAAGACATCTTTCATATGACATGTTTGGGACGTCTTTTTTAAGACGACTTTAGGACTTTACCAAAAAGACGTCTTTAAGACAACTTTTAGCAAAGTCTGAAAAGATATCTCATGAGACGTGTGTATAAGACGTCCTTTTTAAGACATTTTTCAGAAAAAAAATAAGACATCAGTTTTACAAAATAAAATAATTCGAATTATTATAAAAATCAGCAATGTGATATATATCTAATGCAGGTGTACTTATATATATTTTATTGCTTTTGAAATTGGAAATAAATGGAATCTGTATTGCGGATGAAGCTTTACGATAGACAACTACGCCACAGTGTATTTCTTATACTGTGACTACGCGTAGTGCAATCAGTGCACGTGTGGGATTCCGTTGTGAGCCACGGACTGAGGTGGACGTCTGTGGCTCAGTACTCTGATAGTGAAGAATGAAGAAGAAGAAGAAGAAGAAGAAGTGTACGCGTGTTCCGTGATTCTGTACGTCCTCGTAGCTGATCCGATCGTATCAATCAATGTCTGATGACGGAAAAGATTTTAATCCAAGGTAATTACTATACTTAATGCATATATCCTAGTATTCAAGACAATTATTAAATATTAGTCGATAAATACGCAGCTTGCATTAATATAACTATTACTTTCTTAATTTATAACATTATAATGTCATTATAATTTGTGACTTAACCTCAAATTTGTAAATCATATATTTTCAAATATTTTTTGTTATTAGTCAATTAATTTTACAAGATATTATTTACAACTACATTGCATTCTTCATTGCATTGTAGGTGTGCTTGATCTATGCTGTGACTCATGTGTGAAGAGATAATTTAGCGCCGGAAAATTGTATCGGAGTGATGAGATTTGCCCGTCAACATTTCTGCAAGAAGCTAGAGAATGACGGCTTACCGTTTTATCGTAGGACACTTTGTCGAGATGCGATTAGCATAATATAACTCTTCTGTATAATTTTATAATGGCATAAATATAACATTTATAAATATATATATATATGTATGTTTTTTTATAATGGCATTATATATAACATTTTATAATTTTATATTTTATACCGTGACAGCCATTACCGCCACAGCGGTCGGCCGAAACACGACGCTCGTATGCAGGAGGATCACATAGTCGCCCTGACGAACGCGACCAACATCGGTGACGGGGTCGTCAATAGAGTGACGGCGACAGTGCCAACGACGACGGTGCGGCAGAACCCGCCCCCGCCGCCTTATCACATCGCTATCCTGATACCGCCGCCGCCGCCACTCGCACTCTCGGACGAGGCGCCGCCATCCTCTTACGACAAGGTGATGCGATGAAATCAAACCGGCGTAAAATCCACTTACTAGGACAGGTTGTCTCTCGAGAATTCTTTCCTTGACATTTTTTCGTGAGTCCGTTACGCGAAGGCAGCACAAATCAATTCTCTAGGTTTAAGCAAACGTTCACGTCTGTGATAAGAGCGCAATGATGATGACACATCGACAACACATCCGGGGGTTTGGCTCGGGGGAGAGGGAGGGACTTTCACGCGGCGATATTTTTTAGTGGGCATTACGGAGAGAGCCGCGCTCCGCCAAATAAATTTCCGTTTTGATGCGGGTAAAATGTATTCTAATCTTTTTATACTTTACTATGGAGCTGTGTGATATATTTAACTTAGGTTTAGCCACAACGCAGCGCATTGCCGAATACTTGATCGATCCGTTTATTCTTCCGGTTAAAGACTTCCACGAAGCCATCGCTCGCAGTCGGGCGCGGTTCTTCGATATATGTATATATAATTCCAAGAATTCACTGAATTATGTTCGATTACTTAATTGTCTTCACGATCTTAGAACAGTATACAAAAATTACTTGTTACACACACACGCACACATACACACATATATACACGCGCAGAAGCATGAAAGAAAATAAATATATGAATTCGAGCCTGGGTGTCAAATTTGCAAAACGTTGCGCATGGCTCGGTCGCCACTTATGATAAGCTGGCAACAGTAGCCGCGTTTGGCGCACAGTTTCAGTTGTCAAATAGGTGTAACATTCTGTTCACCAAACGCGCTTGTTTTACCGAATATCATACGCACGGTATATACATTACGGTGCTTCATGCGACACAGGAGCACGCGCATACGACGTTTCGCGGTAGTTCTGTGTTACGTGTAATACAGAAATGTTAGCAAGCTACGAGTTTTATCGTGCGAAATGTAACACGATTTTGTATTTCTTTTTTCTCGTGAATGCATGGCGTGGGAGCGGGAGAAAGAGAGGAAGGAAGCGTGCGTGTTGCATACATGTAAATGATCATGTATATATATATATATATATATGTTATATATGTTATATTTTTTAATGGCTGTCACCAAGCATCGGTCCTAAAGAAGCGGTATTGTGTATTGTGTATTTGTAATAATTAAATAATTAAAATAAACATGTAAAAAATAACTAAATTTTTATCTCTTTTTATTCTTAAAATTATACTATAATGTGTAAAAGATGTCTAAAGAATGTCATATAGGATGCCCAAAAAGTGTCTTATAGGTTGACTTAAAGATGTCTAAAAGATGTCTGAAGAATGTCATATAGGACGCCAAAAAAATGTCTTATTGGTTGTCTTAAAGATGTCTAAAAGATGTCTGAAGAATGTCATATAGGCCATTTCAAAAGTGTCTTATAAGACGTCTAAAAGACATGTAATATGACGTCTAAAAGACAGACATAAGACGTCTTTAAGACGTCTTAAAGATGTCTTTTAGTAAATCTTTTTGGACGTCCGAAACATTTTAAGACGTCTTTTAATCGTCTTTAAGACGTCTTATTGTTCACTGGGATAGTTTACTCGTTTACCGGACTCTCCTCCGGTGTCTGCAATCCCTTCATCGGCTCTGGAACAGGAGTCGAATTCTCCTCTTTCTTCGTGCTCTCGCTTGTACCACTCTTCTTCTCCTGTTCCATCAGCGTTGCTACCTCCTTGCCCTTTGTGACCGCTTCCTCCTTTGTGATAGTATTTAACTTGGAGGTATGTGGGACGGTCTTGGTAGTCATCACTTTCGTGTTGCCAGCTGGTAAACCAAGTACCTTTTTCGCGGTCTCCTCCGCCTTGACTACGGCTTCCGTGGCTTTGGGAGCATCTTTGGTAGGAGCCAGGTCCGTGACTAACTACTGTGCTATATGTGTTGCCCCCGCCACTGCCGCGCCTGCAGGGCCTCCAGTCAAGAAACCGGCCAGCGCTGATGCCGCCGGTTTCAGTATATAGTTTTTTGCACCCTGCCAGAGAGTCTCCAACAAGGGTGGGCCCGGCCACTGTATTGGAGTGACTTTGAGTCCACTCAATGCCGGATCACCGTATTCATAGTTTGAACCGATGATGTACCAGTTCGTAGTGTCTGAATAGGGAATACCGATATTCATAACCGGTGCACAATAGGTTAGTGACTCATACATATCTGTTGGAACCAGGACTCTGTTATTATTGCAGGCTGCGTTTGAATAACCTGCCACGTTGTCCACCCAATGCAATAGGCAGACATAACCCTCACCAGGCTCTCGCACTATTGCTTGAGGGAAACGGCGATACATGTCAATTGTTGTGACCATGTTAAACTTGTGTTCACCGTATTCTCGTTTCACCTTCATGGCCATATAAGGTCTGCTCTTATAGTAAAACATCGTTATTTCTTTGGGTATTGTCCCTCCTGTCAATCCCATTTTGTCTACCCACTGTTGGGTGCAGTGGGCAGGAACGGGGCTAAAGGTCATCCAGTCCACGTTATTATATGGCGATAACATAAAATACTCGGCCATTATGTCCAAATCCCATTCTTGTATATTTGACATGATGTTCTCAATGTCAAGATGGACAGTTATTCCTCCATACATAGCACTTTTAATTGCATTGAGCACACTATCTCTGTGTGCCACATCGTACCTGTTGTCCACTCCCGCCCAGTCGCGGGGCGATATGTCGTTCAGGGCGAGAAAAGCCGACGTTGAAAAACTTATGGCGCAAGATAACATATGCACCCAGTGGACAAATCCTGTGGGAGACGCGAACCGATAGGACTCAGTGTGTGTTAAGATTAATCCCATCGCGGTTGCGACGCGACTCACCGACGTCATGGTCTGAATATTGTATGCCGGAACTGCCACCTCAGGTTGTTGAGTGGACCACGTTATTCTCAGACGTTCACCCTGTCCGACATACCGGACTCGCACCACACCCGTTGGAAACTCGTGCTGAGGTGAAATCCCTGAAAAATTGTAAGCTATGGACCTTCTGCGAGCGTCCAGTTTGTCCTTTTGGTCCAGATTGAAGAGATGGCTTTTCATAGCCTTAGTCTTGTCCAAGTACGAACCATCGTAGGTCCATGATCCGTATGGCTCCGCAGTGTAATCAGGAGTTGGCTCGTCGTGCTTGAGCGCTGGTGCAATTCCGTAGTACCACTGACCGTACAATTCTGCGAGCAACGACAACGCCGTACCACATGTGTCTGACACAGCCAACCGCGTACATATTTCGCTCAATGCGAATGTAGTGTCTCTCCGTATACCGGGTATGTTTTCTGTATTCCAAAATTTGTCCCACAACGCCCAAATTGATACGGGCACCTCATTTTGGGGACCTTTCCACACCGGGACATCTACAGCCACGTCCCTCAAAGATAGTTTGACGTTGGCAGAACAATTGGGTGATGTCTCATCAATAAGTACTAAACACACGTTCCTCACACCGGGTACATTGATACTATTCACAACGGGAACATACGTTTCCACCATCTTATACACTTTCCCATTAGGGCCATCTCTTGTTGTTACACTACCATAGGTTACAGTGCCTGACCACGCATCAGAGCTCAAAAACGAAAAAAGATAGGCCAAAAGGTGACTCTGCCTCAACAATCGCGATGGCACTGGCACTGCTGTCCAATTTACGTCCAACTCCCCGTATGTAAAGCCATCAGGCGTGGTAGAATAGTATGAATTATTTTCCAGGGCCACGAAAGTATCTAAAGGCATGGCTATTGCTTTCCACGCGTTGGGCGTCACACCTGGCTTTTGCATTATGTCCATTCCAGTTCCGCTAACGGTTTTTGGTTTGCGAACAAACCTGTACGGTATGGGATCACAGGCATAGCTCTCTTGTCCGACAGATAAACCCATCGCCCCACACCGCAGCACCGCTGCTATCTCATATCTGGTGGATGGCCTCAGCAACATCGCCTTGACCAGTAACGACATAGCCGTTGCGTCTCTAACATTTGGCCCTCGCACGACCGCGGATAAGACTCCAGTTTGTGCGGGGTCATTCAGTCTATCGGCTAGAATCTGGTACTGCGGGCTATAGGGCACGGGATCCGTCTCTCTTCCACATATCATTGTGCTAACAGCTACACACCTCACGGGTATTATATCTGAGTAATAAAACCCAGTGTTCTGATCTGGTGTTGGGTCGTCAACCTCTTCTTCCGTGCGTGCTGTTGCTCCTTTTCTAGTTGTTGGTCCCTTAGATCCACTCGCCACAACCCTCGAAGCAGGCGTTGTCTCCGTTAACCTCTTTGCCTGTTGACGAGTCATTACTCCCTTCCCGCGTATGTATATTTTTACTCCCCCGTCCAGATACTGTTGATTTACGCAGGATAGGGCTTTCCATTCTTCTGGTGTTGGCGTGTCCCCCTTTGGCACATACTCTGCCCCCTCGACCCATTGACCATGCTCGTCTGCTGTTTCAACGATGTAGACACCACCAACATACAAACGCGACACACAGTCCCATGATGTGTAGGACTGTGATTTGCATCCTACGCGTGCCGCGGAATCCAGTGATGTTTGAGTGGTTTCTAGATTCCCTACTGGTGACCCTACTTGTGGCGACGGGCTGAATGTCCACCCCATACAATTCTTCACTGTCACTGGACTCGTCAAAACAGCATCCATCCTGAATCATTTGGACATTATCAGTACGGCGCACAACCGTCTATTAATCCAAAACTACGTGCTCAATCTTCTGCGTATCGCTGTGTGAACGTTAAAGCGCTCTGGTCTCCCCTTAATTATCCACTGGTGATCCGGGTACCGACCACCAGGGGTCAAAATAGTATCTTGTCCGCTTACTATTTTGACTCTCTCTCTCTCTCTCTCTCTACTGAATTTAGAGTGGCAAAATTTTATTATCGGCGCGAAATAAAATCAATACATAACATATTATACTTACCACTCGCATATCTCAGGGTATAAGAAACCCATTTCGTTCGTGAAACTACAACAAGAAAATTCGTGATTAAATCACTTGCGACGGCCACACGCCGTGGTCTTTCTATTTTAAACGTGATTCTCATTCCATACTTACTCCTCGATACCGTGGAAAGTCAACTTGGGCGTCGACAGTAAGCTATCGCTGTTTAAGCCGTTCTGCAATGCGCAAAAAAAAAAAGGGAACGATTATCGTATAATCGGGTTTGCCGCAATTTGGGCAGCGGCGGCAACGTATATAATACAAGCGACGTGCGAGCGGTGATATCGTGCGGGTCAAAGTAAAAGCGTAGTCTTACGTAATTTGGATTCAAGTCAGAATAGAGAAAGCAGTCCTCATC